CCCCAAAACCCCAAAACCCCAAAACCCCACGCTTTTACTCATAGTTGAATTCAACCCAAATGTCACAGAAAGAAGATGAAATAATTGAAATTGAGGATCAAGACTCAAAAGAACCGACCCAGATAGACTCAGTCCAGGTCGAACTGAGCGACGAAACTCAGGACGCTGCTTTAAAAGACGAGAATTTAGGAACAAGTCTTCAGAAAGAAACTCCAATTGACTTAAATGATGAAGAAACTGAAGATCAAGAGAACAGCCCCAACTCTCAAGAAGCAGAACGTGATGAAGAAGACAACGGCTCCCAAGGTAGTGAAGGAGAGGATGATAATGCATACAATGATGAAGAAAATGGTACAGAAAAGGAGGTCATTGCTATTGATGACCAATCTCAGGATGATGTAAAAGAGAATGAAGAAGAAGACCAAGAAATGGAAGAAGAAGATGATACCAATCCGCGATGGGTCTCTATCCATTCAACAGAATACAAGAAATTTATACAAAAGATTGAGTTAAATTGGGAGTCTAACAGTACAAAACTCTCAGTGTGATTGCTGTGTTGGGGCTTCTTGTCCTTCAATTTGAAAAAGAAACACATGGAGCACTCACATTATACTCTAACTCCTTCCTTTGTTAAGAATGAAGAGATGTTCCTGAAATTAGCTAAGAAGCATAAGAGGATGTCTGATGACGAGCAAAATGTCCAAATCTTTGCTGAGAAGTGAAAAGTAAGTCCTAAATTATTACTGAATAGGTTATTAATTACAGTGCTCCAGTCTATGGCGCTAAAAAAGAGACTAAATCTAGTACCCAAAGTCTCTACGTCCTTTGCAACAAACAAATTGAATCAGAAAGCATCATTAAAAGGATGAGTCTTATGGTCAACAAGCTTTACGAAGAGAGCAATAGCAAGGATAATCGGATCTTGGAGCTCCAGCAGGAGCTCGATAGGATCAAAGCTGAGCTAACTGATATCCAAAAGAAATATGATCATTTCTCAGGCAAAGCTAAACAAATGCAACTGTCTTAATTAATGCACTAAATTTCAATAAAATTTTATTTCGGTGGGGTTTTGGGGTTTTGGGGTTTTGGGG